TAACTGCTCCCAAGTAACTAAAACATACAAGACCAGCATGCGGAAAATGGCAAAACCTAAAGACCCAAATACTCGAAGACCTGCCTGTGTACGCATTGGAAGATGCAACATAGTCAAGATGCCCGTTCTCCCCCAAACTGATCTGTAGGGTTAACACAATTCCCATCAGAACCCCAGTGGCAGTGGTGAAGGCACAAACAAGCGTATTCTAACATTTACATGGGAAGGCACAGGACCTAGACCGAACAATTCTGGAAAATTCTGAATAAAATGTGAGGAATCCCTCTGTCACGCCTAGCATACAACCAGCCACAAGCAATGGCGTTGGTGCCGCGTTGGCGGAGGAACACAAAACAGAATCCAGAAACAAACTCACACAAACATGCCCACTGATTTCTGACAAAGGTACAAAGCACTTAGACGGAGAGTAGATAACCTTTTCAAAAGACGGTGCTGGAAAGAATAAACAACTGATCTGAAAACCTCATACACCTTACAAATGAACTCAATGTGAATCACAGATCTAAATGTAATATACAAAACTAAAAAAAAAAAAAAAAATCTGATACCCAGGGCTTGATGAGGTTAGATAGACTGCACACCAACCAGAAACACAATCCATAAACAGAAAAACTGATTAACTGGACTGCATCAAAATAAAAACCTCTGCTCTATGAAGTGGATGAAAGACAAGCTACAGGTTTTCAACAGGTCAATGGTGACACTGTGGTACACCCACACTGTGGAATACCACTTAGCAATCAACACCAAACCACCACTGACACACACGTTGAGTGGGTCACAGGAACTATGTGGAGTAAAAACTGCCAATCCCAAAAGGTCATGGTAGAGTATGACACTATTTCCATAGCGCAGGAGAAATGACAAGTAAAGTGGTAAGTGAAACTGAGCAGTGGTTGTCAGGGATCAGGGAGCGGAGCGAGGTAGCTGTGGCTATAAAAACCCGCCAAAGAGTACCCTTGGATGAAGCTGTACCGGATCTTGACTGTGGTGGTGGTGACACAGACCGAAGCAAATGACAAAATCGCACTGAAGTAAACACGTATTCACGGCGAGAAGTACATGTGGATCTGGTGAGATCTGAATCAGGTAGCTGGATCCTATCAATGTCTTTGCTGGTGGTGGACATTATACTATTGTGCAAGGCACTGCCACTATGGGGCACAGAATAAAAGGTATGTACACAGGCTCACTCTGCATTATTTTTTATAATTGTATGTGAATCCACACTTATTGCAAAATAGTGTTTCTAAAAAAGATGTCAAACTGTCTAGATGTTATCAATCCTTAAATTTTATTTGGAACCAGTAAAGAAAATTTTCTTTTCCTCTTGTCACTTTCTGGACCTACAAAATGTCCAAACTAGTGAAGACAGGAACTGAGTCTTCACAAAGAAGATTCTATCTTCAGGCTTCAGGAAACCTTGAGGTGCCTGAGGAACCAAACCACCCCACCTTCCACGTGTGAAAGTCTGTCTGTACCATGAGTTTAAATCAGTAAAACGAAACGCATACTCGTAGCTATCTACAAAGCTCATGAATGTTTAAGATGCTTACAAAATGAGGTCAATTACTTTCCCTCTCCTAAGTCAACAAAAGCAACCAAAGGAGGAAGTTTCATGGAAACGATGTGATCTGAGTGGGAAGAATCAGACGTTTTGGGACATGGTTCTCCGTCAGCTCTGAGGAAAGGCTAGTAGGCGCATCTTGAATGCCTCTGCACAGCTGAGGATTTGCAGAACTGAGCTCACAAACGGAAAGACCAGCTAAGAAGAGAGTGTGCAGGACCCTGAAGGACACAAAGAACACAATTCCTACGAGGAATTCTGATGTGCCAGGGACAAGTGTAAACTTTAAGTCATTTACCAAAATGACATGTGGGAGTTCATTACTAGCATTCACCTCTATACTGACGTTCCTTTACTCGTTCTTCCAATAGCACTGACTACACCTTCTAGTGCACAATTTGTATTAAAACACGCCTGGGCTGAACGCATGCTCAACAGAAAGGCACTCAGCCACCAATACCCGTCAGTGGTTCTGACTCGAATCATCAGTTCTTCCTCGGGGGGCTTCTGGGGCTGCATCCTCCCAGGGGGAAAGGGCACCAAGTGGAAAGACGATGCTCTCTCACACTTATTCTCTGAACGTATCCGCACAGAAACCAGAGACGTGGAGGAAACCACGACGGCATTTCTGACGCGGACACCTGACTGCTGTGCGTCCCACACAGAAGGCCCCTTCTCATGGACACAACACAGAAACACCCACACACGCTGTTTTCTACCCAAGTCTCTGAGCAGAAACTGTCTGTGGACCTGGGTGCCCTTGGCCAAGGAGAACCCCCTTCCGACCCTCACATTCATGTCCCACTGGTGGAAAATGATCACAAAGACTTCTTTGTGAAAAACATATTTTGCAATAAATTACCAAAAGCTTCATTGACAATCTTAATGGATGTGGCTGAGTAAGGAACACAACACGGCCAATGAGAAGAGAAGCCGATCTACAGACTCAGTAAATGCAAGTGGCCTGCAGGAACTGGACTATTATACGAATATCCAGGAAAATGTACGGACCACAAAGATGGTAAATGCTATTCCACCTAACACATTCACCTCTGACTGTCCTCTTCTCCCACCAGCCCCCAGTTCCCTCTACCCCAGCTCAGCCCCCCCTCCCAAGAACTAATTCTGAAAACTTACCTAGTTCCATTAAGTTCAGACACACTCCTTATAACTGATCGTTTAATCCTATACATTATTACCACACCAATCTACTGAAATGTAGTTAATACTATAAAACTACACCTCAGGATCCATTACTGTACTTCACAGGCATAACCATAACTTTGTTCAATAATTCAGATTGTGATCTCTAAAGCTCTCCATCTGTCATCTCAAGTAACGGTGCTTATACCTTATAATTAACTCGCTAAGGATGTCACCAAAAAAGCAATCATACCACCCTTACATTAAAAAGTACACCAACTCACCCATACCTGGTTAACAAGAAAAAGAAACTATTTCTGTGCATTAAGCCACCACCTGCAGACTGGTTTGGTCTACAGTGAAAAACTAAGTTTTCGAAAGCTCCATAAACCCACAGGCTTTTAAACACACACACACACACACACACACACACCACTGAACCCTGTGAACTCATTTAGTGAGTAAGAATGCTGTAGGCTCATATACTTAGGATTATTTTCAAGAGCAGAAAAGCATTTTCAAGCACCAAAAACTTCTAAGGCTGAAATGAGCTCAGGAGGTATACCAACAGCAATAATAAAAGGAGTAGCAGTAATACAATGTCTGGCTCCTTTCCTTGAGGAGGGGGGTCCTAAAAAAGTGCAGTCCTTCCTTGGCACCCTTAGAAGTTGGTTCCAGGACTCCTGAAGATACCAAAACCCAATGATGCTCCAGTCCCTTATATAAAATTGCACGTAAGCAGTATTTGCATGTAGGCGACAGCAGGGTGTACCTACTACACATCTCTTGTTTGTGGATTCAGAGTAATGTTCTGCACATGCGTGGCAAGTTCAAGCTTTGCTTTTTGAAACCTTCTAGGTTTTTCTTCCCACCAAGTATTTCCCACCCAAAGTTGGTGAGCCCTCCTTAGATGTGAAACCGGTGGATGCAGAGGGCCGACTGTATTGCTTAGCATTTAGCATAAGACTCAAAGACAAGTGTAGCTGTCAGTGTTTTTGTCACTTGTGCCTGCCATGTACCTACCAGGTGTGCACAACCTCTGACAAGTGACCAACCCTCTAAGGTTCTTTCTCTCTGACATGGCGACAGACCTTCACAGGTCTCACCTCACTGAAAGTTATGAATACCAAGCCCTATCGAATTTGCAAAGGCAAGATTTGTCATTGTGTACCAGCAGTTAGAAGTCTCCTCTTGTGACGCTATCAAGTGTCACTTATATTTTAATAGAATCAATACTGAATTTCTTAATCGATAATGCTGCCAACTTGCTTGGATCTGGTCAAAGCAGGACTAATCTGGAGCAGAGGTAAACGAGAACCAGCTGAATACCGAAGACATGAGCCTTTCCCATAAGTGGGAAACAGAGATGTGAACCCACACACTCAACCCCCTTACTGCTGGTACTCCAAGTCACATGCCAAGGGTCAAGGGTCTATTCAAGCCTGTAGATGTTTTTAACTGGCTTTTACAGTGTTTTGAAAGTTCTAAATTAGTTGCTGATGTTTAAACATCAGGACATCTGGTATTAAAATCTGCATTCTTGGATTACCTTGCAATATAGGAAAACCTACCACTGAGACCACACACCCTCAGGGCCACAAGTGGGGGCAATGGCTCTCCAGTTTACCCTAATCCCACCAGGTCAGCTTCCTCATTGATGGTATTGCCTAGTGTTTCTGAGCACTGATGTTTGCCACTCCCAGTACAAACCCTAAAATTGCCTTTCATCCCTGAAATATAAACCCACAATCTAATCTCATTAGGACTACAGTATGTCCAAACTCTGAGTAAATAAAATAAACCCAAGGAAGAATTTGATTAGAAAACACACCATGTTCATGGTTCTATGTTGGCACTGACTGTATGTCAGTTTTGAAAATGATTAATTTGTCTCATCTCTTTCTTCCCACTTTTGGTTACATTAAGCTATCTGCTATAATTGACGGGAGTCCCTTCCAAGTGGAATGTCATTAATAAGTAAATCTTAGTGGAGAGAACTCGCCATGTCATACGCTTAATGACAGCAGCAGGGACTACATACAGCTTTGCTGCCCAGCAAGCTGATGCTTAGACCTCAACTTACTGCTGCCACAAAACTTGGTATTTTTTTAAATGTTGGTTTGATGTTTTATTTGATACAGCCTCCATTCCCATCAAAACATGAACTAAATCAGTAAGAAGATTCTGAAATGGGCTGCAAATGCCACACACAGCCTCCGAGTAGATATTCAAACCACAAGTCCACTACCCCTTACCCGGATCTGCTTACCCATTGCATTGAGATAATGGTTGAAGGCCTGGCAAGGAGGACTCGGGGTTTGTGTTGATTTGTCACAACTCATGGGTGCCGGGCTCCTGTCTGTGTCAAAAGAGAAATACCCACTGGAGGATCGAGACAGCAGGGAGGATCTTCTCACAAAGATGAAAAGCGGGGATCTGGTAGCAAAAGGCCCAGGACTGGCCGGTGGGGCCAGCGGGCCCTGAGGGCTGCCGTGGGGGCAGCGGTCCCCTTCGCCTTCAGGATTACCTTGTGGTTCTATCTCTACAGCAGTGGGGGCCCCAGGCCTGAGCTGAGGAGGCCTCTCCGTAGGCTGTAATTGTCCACCTTCTCTGCCACATTCAGAATTTACATCGGAAGGTTGTTTTGCCATTTGGTCTTTTTTTCTGCAAGTAAAATAAGAGGTAAGATTACCTTAAGCAAAATAATAATCACAAGTATCCAAATTAGCTAATTTTTATCTCCTCATGAAAGGTTAACACCAAGTCATTTAACAGTAAGTCACCACTTGTATGTTTCTGACAATCTCCCAAATAAGAACAAAAATACACGTAAAACAATAAAAGTATTATTACTTGTGTTGTGGGGACTAAATTTCCTGCCACCAAACAAAACACAGTGACAACATCAATGACTTGTGGGGTTGGTACTGGAACACAGACACAAGTTTTGGGAGAGGCAGCAGTGTCTGAATTTTCTTCATAGTGCTCAGCGCAAAGCCCAGTGGCCTGAGCCAGAACCCCTGGAGGATTCTGATTCCTTGGTTCCCAGGACTAGACCCTGCGCTTGGGGCACAGGAGTGCGTGCAGAGGCAGCGACTGCAGGGGCTGGCCGCATTCCCCGCTCCGGCCCCATTGTTCTGCCGAAAGTGCTGAGGGCAGCAAGTCTGGGGAGGTTTGGCAAGGGCCGTCCGTCGTAGTAAGTGCGTCACAATAGAGTTTGTAACTCCGAGCCCGCTCGGCCGCTCTGCTCCCACCCGCCCGCCCACCCGCGGTTCTTCCCTCGGGGGCAGCGCAATGCACCCACCGGGCAAAACTTCCTCCAAGTCCACCCGCACTGTTAGGCGAACACCTTCAAATATGGGGTCCCCGAATCCGGCCCCAGCGCCTCGACAACTCAACAGTAACCCCGCACGCTAGGCGACCCCGGGCGCGCGGCTCCTTCGCCCCGAAGATTTTCCCTCTCCCCGCGAGCAGGCCGAAACTCACGTCCGCCCCTTCCCTTCAGAGCGTCGCGTTCGGACCCGGGCCCCGCGGCGTCCGGCCCGCACCCTTCGCCGACCCGGAGCCCCCAGACCGTCACCGCGAAGGCGGCGCACAAGACAAAGCCCGGGACCTGCGCTCAGAGGCCGCGGGGCGGCGCAGAGCCCGCAGCTGGCCGCGCGCCCGCCGCCGCGATCCGCTGGGCTGCCCAGGGCTCCACGCGCCGTGACTCTGTCCCGCACCGCCCCGGCCGCCGCCGCCGCCGCCGCCGCCGGGAACATCCTCCCCTCGGCCGCTCCTCCCCTCGCGCAATGCGCCCGCCGCCGCCGGCTCCGCCACCTCCCCGCGCCGCTGGCGCCGGTGCCCGCGCTCCCAATTGGCCCGCGCGCGCACGCTCCGCGCCTCGGCCAATCGCCGGCCCCGGCGGGGGCGGCGCCTACCGGCTAGGCCGCCAGAGGCGAGGCGATTGTTGACAAATTCGGCTCTGAACACGGCGCGGGCAGTGGCGGGGACGACGGCTTTCAGGACTCTGGGCCATGGAGGCCCAGCTACCCGGCTACCCCTCTGCTCGTCCCGACGCCGCGCGCGCCTCAGAGACTCCCGCCGTCCCGTGGAGTTAGTCACCTGGAGACAAAGCAAGAGCCGCAGGCGGTCCTATGACTCTGGTCCTGGACGCTGGCCGCCTCCTCCCGCCCCCCGCCCAGGTCCACTTAGAGGCCGTCCCCTCCCCGCCGTAGCACTCCTTTCCATCTTCCTCCCTGTGCACCGCGGCCACGCACCAAATCTGAGCGGGCAACCCCAAGGGCAGAGCACCGCCAGTAGCACCGCGAGGGGTCTGGTTGCGTTTGGGCACGCCCGAATAGCTAAGACCGCCGGACCGGCCCCACGGACGTCCAACGTGTCGCCCCGGTGGTCTCTCGCTGTCCGTGGCTCGTGAGCCTGGCATCGTTCGCAGAGCGATCACAGATGGGGCAGGGACCCGGACATGTCCGAGAGAGTGGACGCAGCGGCTGCCCCGACCCCTCGGCCTGATGTACACGAGAAAAAGCCGAATTTCGTCAGTGAGTCCCCCGCACAGCTCTGCAAATCCCCCGGGTCGAGCCCGCGCGCCAGAGACCCGCTTGTACCGCGCGGCCCGCGAGACTTCCCGGCCGGGCGCTTAGCTCACACGGCGCAGCAGCCTCAGCTCCCGGGCCGGCGCGGGGAGCGCTCGCTGCCTCTCCAGCAGTCCATCTGAAACGCTGCACTAACCCGCGGCCGCATCGCGTTCTGGTCCACGGTTCCACTAAGCGCTAGCGGCTTCCGCACGACGACCCCTCCCCAAAGTAGACCTGCCCGAAAGAGGACCCGACCCGCTCTGATCGCCGCTTCCCGCCGGGCCACAAGCGGGACGGGGACGTGTGTCCGGCCAGCACGTGTGCGTGAAGCGGGCAGGAGGTGGAGCGTGTGGCTCCGGGGCCGGTCATCCACCCGTCCCGTCCCACCCCACGCCCGGGGATCCGGAGGTATTTACCTTGCGTTTCTCAGTCCGAGAGTCAGAGTCAGACATTGGGGGGGCGCGGGCCAGGGGAAGGCGCCGAGGTGGTGGCGGCGGGAGCGGGGCGAACCGAACAGCCCCAGGCGATGCTGGCCGCAATGGGCAGGGCGCGCCGAGCGTCTCCGAGGACCCGGCGGCGGCGGTAGAGGCGACACGGACCGGGGCGATCGGACGAGCTCAAGACCTGGAGCCAGCACGGAGCGAAGTGAAACCTGCGCGGCCCTGCAGCCCAGCTCGGTCCCGCGGCCCCACTCCCGCGCCCAATCACTGTGGACCCCGCCCCCGCCAAGTCCCGCCCCGCTCCGGTCAGCCCCACCCCTTCGCGCAACGATCCCGGCCCCTTGGCTCTGCGTCCTTTGGAGCGCGCTAGCTGCCGCAGGTAAAGGCGGGGCGGCCAGCCGGGTTCCCGCTGCGCGCGCCGCCTGCCCTGCCCCAGCCGGGTGTGTTTACCGAGTGACTCGAGCTGCCGGCAGTTCTGTGTGCACCCATCCCCCACCCCAATGTGCATCCTCGCCTCTCCCCTGCCCGGTGGCGGCCGCGGTGTGCGCGTGGAACAGAGGGGGCGCTCCTGGCACAGTGAGCCAGCTTGGCCGCAGCCGCCCGCCAAGCCTTAGGAGGTTGCCCAGAGCTCTGGACCCGCTGCTGGAGTTTCTCTCAGCTGCGCTAGGGCAGGCGCCAGGACGGGTTGGAGAAGGGCGTCTCTGCGCAGTCCCCACTCCCAGAGTCAGGGTCTCCGGCGGGACCCGATATTCAAGCTGCTCATCTCTCTCCGGGTCGTCCTCCATATGCCACCCGCAGGGCCACTCAGCCGTTCTCCCGCGCCGGACTTTGGCTAAGCGGCGGAGCCCTTCGTGGGCAGAGACCAGAATAGGGCGCCGAGCGATCCCCAAAGCCTCTTTCCGCAGCCCGGGTGTGAGACGGGAAGCGAGCGCGCACCGAGCAGGTAAAATAAGGAAACGAAGAAAAAACTTTAAAATAAATATTTTTAAGAAAAAAAAGAGAGAGAGAGAGGATCAAGAAGAGTCACGGCCTTCAGGTGGGAGAGAGGGTGGTGCCTCCGCCGAGTTGGGATCCTCCAGGATTTCTGGGTTCAGGGAACTGTTCCTGGGCATGGAAAGCGCTGTGGGGGAACGCACCCCCAGCCCCTCGGTCCTGCTGGCCTTGTACCTTCTTTCTTGGAACCCGCACCCCACTTCTCCTTCCCGCGCGCCTACGGTGTTTTTCGGGGTCCACACCTCCACCTGTTCTTCCAGTGCGCGTCCTGCGCTCCCCCTCCCTGCGTTCCCCAGGCTTTGCCACACGCAGCGCGGGAGTAAGGGTAAAGACGGTCGGGAGAAGGGACAGCACTCGCCGTGAGGGAGCTCAGGCTAGATGCGTTGAAGAAACTCAATTTAGTGGCCTCCCTAACCAGCACCCCGGACCGGAGAAGGGAGGGTCCTCGGTGCTGTTCTGCCCTCTGGCCACTTTGGTCAGTTTTTGTTTGTAAACAGATATAGAAGGGCAGCGTGACAGCATCAGCTCCAGATTAGTCTCAGCTCATCCTCCGGCGAGTCCTGAACAAGTGGCCAGGGGTGGGGCGGGGGGTAGATTTCGCTGCAGGAGGGTAAGAACAGGCATGGACGCGGCCGGTGGACGCTGGCAGCGACCGGTGGCCTATCCTGACCGCGGCTTGGAGCATCCACTCCGGATCCTAGGTGGCAGCCGCTCAGCATAGCACCGGGAACAAGCCATGGAACCGGTTACGGTCGCCGGGAGCCCCAACTTGTCGAGGCGCCGCGCTCTCCGTGGGCCTAGGCAAGGCAGGCAGGAGCCGGAAAAGAAACGCGCAGTCGGTGTCGTCTACTCCCGTGCAGCTCCACCGCCCCCGCGCTGCCCGTTCTAGCGACCCGGTGAACACTTTAAAAAACAAAGGCGTGAAGGAAAGCAACCTGTTATGCACTTTTATCTGGCACACAACCAGAAGGTCGGCCCGAAGGCGGCTGCTTACGACACCCAGACTGTACTGGGGAGCTTAGGCCAATGGCCCCGCGTTGGTGACCGGGAGCCCTTCCTTCCCAGTTTCGCAATGTCCGAAGGCCCTCCTGAAGCCGGCCCGAGCCCAGAAGAAGGGCTGCGTGAGGAGGGAGTTGGGCATCAGGGAGCGGTACCTTCTCCAAAACAGGTGGAGCGGAAGGACGGAGGGTGGCTGGGACAGAGAGGGCCACCGGGATCTGAGACGTGGGAAGTCCGCAGCCCTCGCCAGGCACACGGGCATGGGGTGGGTGGTCTCTCCAAATTCCGAAACCTACTTCCTGCAGTGTATTGCCCGGCCCGCCTCCCCGCCCTTGGCGAGCCGCGAGCGTCGTTTCATTTCTTTATTAAACAGGGTATCTGCGCTTCTAGAGAACAGTACAGTCGCTCTTGGTGAAAACGTTTTCCGCGCGCGCTGTCCTGCGGCCAGGGTGCCGCGACCCTCAGAGGACCAGCCGAGTTGGTGCTTGGCAGAGCCGGCCCCCAGCGCAGGCTTCTGTCCAGCGGCGCGTTTCCTCGCAGAGCCCCGGAGGCTCTGACTCACTACAGCCGCGTCGTTCGCGGAGTTGAACCTCTGCCCGCGGGTGTTTGATTTCTGTGCTTTGATTTTTTTTTTTCCACTCAGCACCACAGTTTTTCAAAATCACTGGGAATCTTAGTCGCCGTTGGCAGCGGGAAACCTTGGGTGGCACCGGGCCGTGGGGCGCGCTCGCCGAGAGCTATCGAGTGGGTCCCGCCAAAGCCTGAGAGGTGGCGCGGGCGGTCGGGCTACTGGGAGAGGGCGCAGCGCTGCATGCGCGCCCTTTGAGACTGGCCCGCGCGCCTCCCCAGCCTCGGCGGGACGCGGCTCTGCGGCCCCTTGCGCGCCGGCCCGGCTCCGCTCCAGCTCCCTCTTCAGAGAAGCGATGTGGTGGCAGTTGTGAGCGGGCCACCACCCTGCCGCCACGCCCGCTACAACTTGGCTCCGGGTTTGGGCCTCCTAGAGCTCGAGCTCTCCTGGGCTGGGGGCTGCCGCGGCGCGGGATAGAAGGCCCAGGTGGCCAGCGGGTTGGTGATTCCGGCGATGGGCGCGTGGAGGTAGGTGTGCGGAATGTTAAAGGCAGAGATCACCCTCAGGGCATCATCCTTCACCGAGTCACACAAATCCAGCAACTGTAGAACACGACACAAAGGAACAGGTCAGATGTTAGCTCACTCACAGTGGCTGGACACCCCCCCTCCCCCCGCCCAAGCACCCGCACACCCAGCGGCCGGATTTCTTTCGATCTTGAATAAACCCTCGCAAACCTTTTTAATCTTAGAAATTCTTAACTCAGTGACACCTAGTCTGGCAGAAGCCCGCTTATTCCGTAAAGGGGTGGGGATGGGCTCCAAATCAGCTGGGAGCTCCAGACCAGAGCCCAAGAACTTATTTTCCCCTCCTCTGTCCACTCCGGCAGCCTCTGCCTCCTCTACTCCCCTCCGTAGTGCCTGGAGTGCCACCCTCTGGCGCATACAGGCAAGTGAACTGGCAGAACTGGAGCAGGTGAACTTCGGAGACCTGTGGAGTTCCCCCAGCAGCGTCACCCCCCACCCCACCCTACCTCCTCCCCCACCCATCCCCCACCCCCTCCCCCACCTCCAGATTGGCAGGCCACTGCTCCTAAAATGCCGAACAAGTGGTGCGCCGGGGGAGGACGGGTGGGGGGTGGACCGAGAGCGGCGTTGGCAACTTTGTGCATCTTCCACCTGGCTGCTGCTGCTGCTGCTGCTGAAAATCCACCACCTGCGGTTAACACCAAGGAAGGCCAACGCCCCCCCCCATCCCCCATCCCCCGCGTATTCTGACAAGCACTGGAAGTCAGGATAAGACTCCCCAGCCGACGGGAGGGGAAGATGCAGACCAGTGATTTTGGAGGCGCTGCACTGAGTGTATTTTATGTCATTTTTCATGATTTAGATGCCAGTGCATGTTTTTTATCCCCAGGAAAAAAGAAGCTACCAAAAATAATAAATTGTTTTTCTAAAAGTAAACAAGAACCAACAGAGAGACTGCTCTCCTTTCCATTAACGAGCTACACACCATTCTCCATTTTTGAAGTCTTCAGTCAGCTGTAAATCTCTTTCATGCCAAATTACAGTTCATCCCAGGTTTTCATGGTTTACTTTTATGGTTTTAAAACACATCACTTAACCAGCTGCACCTTTGCCCTCATGGGAGTGGTCATCCCTGGGGCTATATCGATGCTGTTAAGACTACAGTTCCTTTGCTGCAGTCCAACATGCAATTTCAAGTGTTCAGAGAAGGCGGGGGGGTGTCAGCCAAAATGGGGGGGTGAGGGTGGCATGGGGGAAGAGCGTGAATTTTAATAGTCCATCAATACCTCTTGCTTTCAGACGTGCTCTATTACATCAGTAATTTCTAATGAAAAACTTCATTCTTTATGCACTGTGGTTAAGCACCATCAAATCAGTACTGAAAAGACTTTGATCATATTTGCAAGATGCACTGCGATGAACTTTCGCTGACCAAGATTTCAAAGTTTGTAATTAATACTCTTGACAAATCCCTGACTAATCTGTCAACTCTCAAAGTCTTTAACCACAAAGTTCAAAACCATGAGATGTGTAGTCCCTATACCTTTCACTTTATTGTGATATCATTATTCAAGATCATTTTTTCCTTTGGGTTTGCGTTAGAGAACTCAGCCAATTTTTTTCATGTATTCAGAAGCGGGGGAAATTCAGTGATTTGAATGAGTGTTGTGTGGAAGTGTATGGGTTTGGTCTGTCTGGTGCCAAAGAGAATAACTGTCCCGAGGTAGAAATTAGAGGCAGATTTCTACTCAATATTCTTACAAATTTAAAAATAAGAATAAAATAGACTAAGTTTTAAAAGAAGGAATCGAATGGCAGGTGCAGAAGAGGGTTGCCTCACCCACACATGTTCAGGGAGTAACCCAGACGCTGACTGCTAAGGTTTTTTTCTAAACCTAAATTCTGGGGGTGTCTAAAATACTCCTCTTGCTTTCTCTGTTTCTCACTGATGACAACGGGAACCCCCAAACAATTAGGATCTAGATGGAAGGATCAGGCATCGTTCCTG